AAATGTGATGGTTATTTGCTGCCGAACGCAATGAAATTTAGAAATAAAAGTCACATAGCTAAAACAAAGATTCTTAACTATGTTTTACAGCTTTGTGGACTGAGCCTGTAGAGTATTCTGGTATTTGCATACCCCAACAAAGAATGTATTTTCTCCCCTTTAGTCTGTTTTTTTTTTTCAGCATTTTGTTACATCAGTTTAAAAAAAAAAACTGGTGGTGTTTTAAGAAACCGTGTTATCCCAAAGAGGCTATTGAGCCCTCCTACTTCTAACTGTGAACTACAGAATAATTAGCCTTTATTATGTAGACATTAGAGTGTGAGAGTGGTTGTGTAGTATGGAAAAAAAAAGACACTGGGCAGGGCTGGCAACATTTAGTCTACAAAAAGCTGTGTGTTGTCAGCCACAACAGGGGTTAGGAGTCAAATGCATTTCTTGCAGGTCAATAGGTATTTAATTTGTACTTTTACTGTCTTTGAAGGCATAAACATGATGAAATGTGCAATTACTGAAGAGATGTACTACATTTTATGTGCCTTAGCATAAGAAGTGGATCTTTAAATTTGAAAACATAGTGAGGGGTTACAATTAGGGATGCACTGATACCGATATTAGTATCAATGCCGATGCCGAGAATTTGGGCGAGTACTCGTACCCGCCCAAATGCTCCGATGCCTAGCCCGATACTTCCGCCCAATCAGGAAGCTGGACGCCACATCATTACACGGCGCCCGGCTTCCTGATTGATCAGAAAACTGGCTCCATGCTTTCTCGTCACCTAGTGACGAGAAGCTTGGCGACGGCTTCCCTGCTAAATCAGGAAGTCGGGTGGCGAGTCATTACACGCCGCCTGACTTCCTGCATGGGACTTCCGGTACTCAGTATTCGGTATCGACGAGTACCGGAAAAAAATAATATCGTACTCGTAACCGACATACCGGTATCGGTGCATCCCTAGTTACAACCTCTGTCTGGTTTTATTGTTGTCTTAGTACCCTCTGGAGAGAGTCACCCCCTCTATTTATCCTGACGACCATTGTCACAAGCATTAAAAAATCAGGAAGATTCAAAAATTTAAATGGTAATTAGAACAAGAATAAATGGGGAAATTTATGAATTGGGACACTACTGTCTAAAAGGAAATTTCCCTAACTTGGGAATGGTTTTTCCTCCAATGGGAACCACCGATGGCAAAAAATACCTAACAGGAATTTAAACCATTTTGTACTCCATCCCAAAAAAAACAAAAACGTTTTGGCTATAGATAGAAATACGTACCAGGGCCTTTCCCAGCCCAAACTATGCAGCAAATAACACACCTGAAGTCAGCATATGTACTGTTGTTTAAACAATTTTGCACAGAGATGCCTAAGCCTGATTAAAACCTAAATCCTTTCAATGCAGACAGATGCATGACGAGGCTAGGACGTGTATAGTTGCTATAAACATGTGCTGACAATGATAACTGGCAATGTACTTCTCTAGCAGATCTGTGGGGAAACTGCAAAAAATGCAGGCACAATGATCATTAATGACGTAAAAGAAATTATTTTTACTCTGGTCACAACATTGTGTAGCTGTGTGTGGAAAAGCTCCACTCGCTGGTTGCTAAGTAGCCACCAACTGTTTTAATTATGTTCTCCAAGATGAGCACTGATAAAGTTTTAGCTCTATGTGTATATGCTGCGTGCAGAGAAGCATCTTTAATGGGAGAATTTTATTTTTAAAAATGACACTTTGTCCTGAGAATTATGTTCATTTCCGAGACTGTGGTAATTAATATTTTGTGAGTACAATAATAAATGGCATATGTGGGTAGCATAGGGTAGTGGCGTAGTGGTTAGCGCTTCTGCCTTGCAGCACTAGGGGACCCTGGTTCGAATCCTGGCAAGGAGTTTGCATGTTCTCCCTGTGCTTGCGTGGGTTTCCTCTGGGTACTTCGGTTTCCTCCAACACTCCAAAGACAAGCTAGTAGGTTAATTGTCACCTGTCTAAATTGGTCCTCATATGTATGCATGTGAGATAGGGACCTTAGATTGTAAGCTCCTTGAGGGCGGGGACTGATGTGAATGTGGAACTATGTAAAGCGCTGCATAGATACCAGTAATAAATATGAGTGCATTGTATACTGTGAGTATGCTCAGACTTTATTTAACCATATCCCTTTAAGCCATGTGCAATACTTAGTACTATGTAGCCACTCCAACATTTTTTTTTGGTTGTGTAAATTTGAAGAAAAAAGCCTTTCACTTGTAGAAAAAAACGGAGCAATGTTTTGTACCAGAATCAGAATTTTAGAGTCATTTTAAAATGGCAAAAAATATAGAATAAAATCTATACTTATCTATAGTAACACATTTTTTTTTAAACTAACACTGCTCACTTTAGGTAAAAGTGTGTTTTTTAAGTTGTTACAGCATTTGTCAATGGATTGCATAAAAAATAAAATTAGAATTAGAATTTTAAAATAAGAAAATAAGACAATATCGCCCAAAAAAGTCTCTTGCATGTAAAAAAAAAATATATGTATTACTTTGTTATCTTAGATCAAAGCAAAGTCATTGTTGAATAAACAGGCCTATAGCAAATTTAACTATACTACATTTTAAAGAGAACTTCCAAATATTTTCTAAGTCTAAACATTGAAGGTGGATTGTCTGCAGATGGCTATGATTTTTCCACAGAGAATGATTTCTTAACCACTCCAGCTACACCTCTTTTGCACCACCTGTCCCCCCTTCTTCCCCATAGGCCAGAGCTATTTTGACTCTAATGCCCCATTTACACTGAATCCGTTAGCATACAATTTTCAGTGGATGTCAACGGAAAGTAACCCAAAAAATGTATGGATGTGAATAGGACCAGTTCACACCAGTTCACAGTAGAGCAGCTCTACTTTCTTGAGTGCAACGTAACAACGCACCAAAAACGGATGTCAAAGCAACAGAATGGAATGCAAGTGAAAAAAATAATATACATAAAAGTTTGTCCATTCAAAACATGTTAATAAAAAAAAAAGATTGGCAAAAAAATTAAAAAAGCAACACAACTGAATGGAACACAAGGGAAGCCAATGGATATTGAAATTGCAAGACAACAGACCTGAAGGGCCCTAAAGGTACGTGTACACAGTGCCTTTAAAAATTAATAATATGCAAGGGAGAAGAATTGTAAGACCAAGTATAAATCCAAAACTACACAAAATGGATTAAAAATAACAGTATTAATGTCCTGGAATGGCCAAATCAGAGTCCAGATATCAACCCAATAGAGAACTTGTGTCTTGACTTAAAAATGCTGCTCATTTATGATTGACAAGCAACCTGACATAGTTGGTGGAGTTTTTGCAAAGAGGGGTAAGGGAAATTACAATGTCCAGATGTGCAAAGTTAATAAAGAGCTATCCACACAACCTCAAGTTGATAATTGTTACCAAAGGTACATCTACTAAACAATGACTTGGAAAGGGTGTATACCTATGCAGTCAGTTATTTTGCTTTTTTTCACTGTAATTATATAAATCACTTTGCAGAGATCTATTTTACTTTGAGAAGAGTATATTCCTGTTGAGCAGTGTGTAAAAAAAAAATAATTGAATCTGCTACAATTCTAAATGTTACGTCAAAAAACATGAAAACTTCCAAGATGAATACTTTTTATAAACGCTGTATATTCTTATAGATCGCATTTTTAGTAAGGTAGTATAGCTTTTCTATATTTTAACTTTATCATTTCAATTACATTTTTAGCTTTGCTTTTTAGAGCACGATTGGAGCTTGGTTACTAGCAGGTATCTTTTTTGATATGATCTTATAGCCCTGAAGAGGGGGTGCTCTATATGAAATATGCTGGCTCTATTAAAAGGAGAACTATGAGGTGAGTGCTTTTCACTCACCTCATAGTTCTAGCCGACCTGTGACAATGAAACTGTCACAGGTCGGCTCAGTAGATCGGGAAGTGAGCGAACACATACCGGCGTTCGCTCACTTCTCGATCCTGTCACGGCTCTCTGCCTTGACAGGGGAGTGGCTGGATTACCCCCTCCCCGCTCCGATCCACCAGCGCTGACTGGTGGAACATACGAGGGGGGCTGTTACAGCTGGCTCTGCCTCTAGATAGGCAGAGCCAGCTGTCACTGATGCAGCTGGGCGGATCCAGACATATTTGTGGGGATCCGCTTCAGCTGCGGCGTCTCAGTATACCGCGAGCTGTAGCTCGCGGTATACTGAGCTTTGGGTGACGGGAGGACGCTAGTTTGTGTCCTCCCGTTACCCTAAGGAGAACTATGGGGAAAAGCCCTAACCCCATAGTTCTCCTTTAAAGCTCTTATTACCAATAAAATAATAATTTTAAAAACTTTTGACCAGGGCTATCCCTAAGGTTTTCACCACCTGAGGCAATTAGCTGTTATTCCAGGGGGGAAGGGTTGGTGCTGGCAGGGAATGGTAAATTTTGGGGAGTGTGGGGTTGTTGTGCTCAGTTTTAGTTTGGGGGCACGGACTCTGGAGCACAGCTCTGTCTGGTGTCCCGCCCAGGTCATTGACGTCACTGGTTGTCAGGAGCTCGGCGGGACACAAGTCAGAGCGTCCCATTCAGCTCCTGGCAACCAGTGATGTTAGTAAGCTGGGCAGGAAGCCATACAGAGCGCGTCACAGGCTGCTAAGAACTCTACCCCCTACCGCCCCATCCACCAGCCTGCCGCCCCCACAATCAGATGCAGCCTGAGGCAACCACCTCAGGCTGCCTCATTCTAGGGACAGATTTTCTTTTAGAACTCCTTAGCAATCAACATTCATGTAATAAAACCTCACAAGGGTTCTTACCGTTCCCTACACTTTAAACACACACAGGGGTAAAGTGGATTGGCCATGGTTCTATGAAGATTTTATTGTTCCCCTCATATGTATAATTGTGGCCTTTTAAGTGACTCTAGCTGCATTTTTTAGACAGTCCAGTAGCCATAACCCAGCAGTAAATATAAAAACCTCAAGAACACTTACTTAAGTTTAGGAAGCAGGCCAGGGCAAGGGTGTGGAATTGCCCACTGGATCTCCAGTGAAACCTGCAAGAGAAAAAAAGATGGAGTGACTTAAGCTCTCTAGATAATGAGTGAGTTAGTAACAAAACGGAGCAGATTTAATGACTTATTCCTTATACCACTCTCTTCAGAAATGTAATTCCCTTATCCAAAACAATTCTTTAACACATTGCAATGTCAGTGATCAAAATAATCAATCCCAAAGGCTGACATTCAAAAATCACCCTAAAACCATCTTCAGTTTATACCGATATACTTTCCAACACTGTTGGATCTATAAACAAAAGAGTGGCAAACATTTCTTTAGGGTGGAGTTTGTGTTTACAGAAGGACCTTCAGTCATATAAACTTGGGGAAAATGGCAGCAGTATTAGGCTTGCCAAACATTGAGCAAATTTTAGCCAGTTCATCATGAAATTGGCTCAGTGGGTGGCCCTGTCGGCAGCCTCCCAGCCAACATCCTTTATTCCGAAAAATGAAGGAATGTTTTGGAAAATTCTTGGCCGAACACAGACTGCAGCCATTTTCCAGGAACTCATACAACGACACATGTGCCACTGTCAGAATACATAAGCCGTAGCGGGAGATTCATCCATCCACCCTGTTTAGCAGGCTGAATGAAAACAAAAAATTTTATGTATGACCAGCTTTAGAGAACTTATACTGGAACGGCAGATGGAATCGGATTCATTCTCACCTACAAATGTAACTCATGGCATCAGTGAAATATGGACATACGGTATTTTCAAAGTAATTTAAAATTGTTACCAAAACAATTCCACAATAAGCATATGTATGATATGAGTTTCCGTTTTAAGAGATCAAGTGTTCTCTATTGAGCACAGTAGCTGGTGAGATATTATAGGACAAGATGGTAAAAAGTAAGAAAAATGATGGTCATGGGTGATCAATGATAAATGCTACTTCTATAATATCAGCCTACCTACCATATCCTCAGAATACAAAAAAAAAAACAGGAAAGAAAATTAAAATGGATGAAGCCCCATAACCCTGCCCCCAATTTGAGCACATTAAACAAACATCATGGCAATGATCAAATAAATTGACAAGGTTTATGCTCCATCCTATAACAAACTACATTGGTAACTATAGATGCATAGTCCTCAGTAGTGCATAATGAAATGATGTGCATGTTCCCACCCACACAATCTTATATGAGCAGCACACCCCATTTTTAAAAAATGTGTAAGGAGGTTAGAACAGCGAGTACTGTCTTAAGGTGCCCATACACCTTACGAATATCGGCCAATTTTCGTTTGCGTTTTTGTCAGATATTGGTAAGGTTGATGGGGAGTCTACAACTTCAAATACTGTACAACCGTACGACTTTTGTCTTTCCAGCAGGTTAGAAAACTTCTGTCAAATCGTACAATTTTCGCAAGTTTGGTGGCGTTTGCTCATGCGCAAACTAAAATCCGTGCGATCGGTAAACAAAATTCGTCGAGGTGATTTCTGCTAAAGACAGCTAATCGAACTGTGGGGCGGGATGGGGCCGTCGTACGACAATCGTACGACGGTTCGATCATCGGACAAAAATTTTCATCCGTTGATTGCAAGGTGAATGGGTACTTTTAGACCTGTGAGTGCTGAGAAGGTACAGATTGCTTTACTTTAGTTTTGAAAATAAATGTATGTGTTCTTTTATTTCCTCAAGAAATAAGAAGAAAAGAAGAGAAAACAGACACCCTGTAGAAAAACAAAAACCAAACGAGTACTCTCTTGTTAATGAAAAGTACAAAGCGTTGGGAAACCTAAGTGTACAATAACGCTTAAGAAGATATAAATCAATCGGACAAATATTTGGCATTATGACCATTTGTTTATTCAACCACTAAGAATGTAGCCAAGATTTACTTTTGTCACAGTATCAGTTGTAATCTATTATTGCGTACACGTGTGTCTATAAATATCTTATACAACACACACAAACACAGGCGCTCTCTCTATTTAGAAAAGGAAGATATCGACATGGGGAGAGCCTGTCCAGACACGAAGTGGTATCTGAGGTCAGCTGTCCAATTAAGCTCAGGTAAAATTGGTCTACAGAAGGTGAAAACCTGGCCATACGCCAGTGGTATTTTATTTGGCAAAAAAGAAATATCCTTTCGGAACGTTCACTTGATTTTCTAATAGCTAATGGGGTCAAATCAGCAATCAATTTAAACCGCAGTGACAAAATGGAAGGATGGAAAATGTTTCTGTAATGAATAAAATTCTAACAGTGAATGTGGTTTTCGTTCAATAAAACCCATTTCCAAAATCAAATGTTAAAAATCAAACAAAATTTGGAAATGACATTCTACAAGTCTCTGATGGCAAAATCAAATGTTCTGACCAGATTTTTCGTATGAACATTTCTATGAAAATACAAACCAGCTTAAGCCTAGAGTCAGGCAAGGACTGGGCTGGTTAGCCAGTGCTACAATGCCATCCACACTGTGCTTACAGATTTGGAGAGGACTGTCTGTGGAGGAACAGAGGGGCCCTAAAGGCTGAGAACCGGAGCAGCAGATGCCGTAATGAAAAGCCAGGAGCCTAAATGCTTGTTTTGGAAGAGTACCTTCCTTTTGTGTTGAAGATTTCTTCTTTTATACAAAGTGGGCAAGAGCCCTTAAAAAGGTACTTTAGTGGCTGAACTAGAGTTCATAAAAAGCTCTCCATTTTGTATAATATTTCTTTATTATTGCTGGATATGACAATATAAACATCATGTTAAGACACTCTCACGGGAAGAAAAACTGTCAAAATCAACAACAGCAACAACAAGAAAAATATTCATAGAACATCCACCATAAATTTTCCATTAGTGTTAAAACCATTCTTTCCCTTAAAGGTCTCAGCTACAAAGAAAAAAACCCAAAAGAAAACCCTTAAGAACCCAAAACCCCTCCCAACCCTAAACCAAACCAAAAACAAAAGCTCTCCATTTTGAATAGGCAATCACAGTACACATACATAGGATGGGAGGGGG